CACTGTGTTTTTCTTTCATTCTTCTCAAGGCCAGGTTGCTTGCTGTTCCCTGCCTGGCCTCACCCTTCAGTGTGCCTTTTCTCCAAAAAAATATACAGATTTTAGTCTGTTTACAGGTGGAAGATGGGAGCCAGTCACCAATCAGATTATATCCAAATGTGTGTCCTCACAAGGAATTTTTACACACTTGTACATGGGACTTAAGTGTGATATGATGTAAGTAAAGGGGTCAGTACATAAAAACTCCTTAAATAATGAAAATTCTCTTCTCCATCCTCTGGTAGGAAGAGAGAAGTGGGATTCTGCATATAGGTGTGTGTTTAGAGAGCATTACGTCGTGGTGGATGGCCCCGTGGTGTACTTTATCAAGCGTGGGCTTCAGTCCCAGACCTGAGTTCCCAGCCTGCCCACCCCGCACTTGGGTGAACCTCGATTTCCTTACTTATGAAACAAAGACATTTAACACTTAAGTGTCCTGTTGTGGGTCGGGGGTGTAGCTCGGTAGTAGAATGCTTGCCCAGCAGGTGTGAGGCCCTGGGTTGGATCCTGAATAAACAAACATATTTTTGTGAGGAGAAAAGGAAACCCTAAAAGTTGGGAGTGATTTTCGGGAGTGATTTCGAAGCATAGCCGGACTTTGTATCCTTGTCCTGCTCCATGATACCAACACCATGGCATATCTTATTTCTGCCGCACACTTTGGTGTTCATTTTTTTTTAAGGCCACTGGTTTAAATCTAAGTAAATATTTAAATATTTATCCATATTTCTTATTCCTTTCCAAAGTTGAGTCCCAGATAGCCCCACTGAGTCAGGGATAAACGTTTTAGAGTTTTTCCTTCCAAGGAGAGTTAATCACCTTATGCTCTCATCAGTCGTTTAGAAGAATATGCAGTGATGGCAATCCCCAGCACTTAAAGTTGATCTAGTAGGTAAAAAAGCCCGATAGTCCGTATGTGAGCACGCTGGAGGACTCAGTGCTTTGCATGTTGAATAATTTCTTTGGTGATTTTTGTAGTAGAGGCCATCTTCCCCCCTATTAAAACAAAAAATGGTTTCCTGCTCAGATTTCTTAGCACTTCCTAGTCCCCATTCCTGGAAGCAGTCGGCTCCTCTCACATTGGATGAGGAGGCTCAGCCCGCTCTGGGAAGTCCAGTGTGAGTTCCTGGTGCCCTCCTTGCTCCCTCTAGTGGTCCCATCTGAAACTGCAGCCCCACTGCCTCCGCTCTTCAGGACAAGATTCATCTCTGTGGGAAGTCTTCGACTTTAATTGCAATCAACAATGTGTGACCTGTTTTTTCTTCTGGTTGTGAAGCTTTCAAACTTTCTGATTATGTAGTCTTTTTCTGTCCTTGTCACTTTGCTCTTGGGAATGGATTGAGGGCAGGAGATCAGCTCTTACCCAATTATCTTTTTTTTGCGGGGGGGGG